TGTGACCTCCTGACAAGCAAAGTCAATGGAGAAGCCAGATTCGTTTAACCACCATGTTACTAACTTATCAACGGCAGTGATTGACGTAACTGTGGAAAGAAAGGTCATAAAATGGGTCAAAATTCACTTAAAAATTGTCTTGCTCAGCAATGGAAACTTTGGGCTCAATTGTAGTCATAAAGTGAGGACTACTTGTACCCCCCCTTTTGGAATCAGTGCAGAATTTGGAGAGATCTTTGGAAACAATAAGGAAGTGGCTAGCTTTTGCCCTCTTTCAATCTAGCCTGTAAGCTTGGGATATTTTTTTTGAGCAGTTTCCATCCCTAATTAAATTCAACCCTTCTTTTCAAAACCAGCCAAGGTCACCAAGGTGCTGCCTCCTGTTGTGATCCTGGAGGCAACGGGGCCGAGTTCCATCTTAAGTTTAATTTAGAGCAATTCAGTTATGGCTACAAAAAACACACACAAAAAAACCAACCTTTGCAAAAGTTTGAAAGGCCAGCTTTGAGGAGAGCAAGAATGGGCTCAACTTAATAGAATTGGAAAAAGGCCTCCGGGGGGCCTTGAATTTCGATAAGGACGATCTGTACATTGCATTTGGCCGATCTGAATAGCAGACCCTGTACCTGTAGTGAAATGCTAGGTAGAAGGAAAAAAAATTAGCCTGTCATCGCAATAACGGAGCCACAAATCTTCGTGGGATCGCATGTAAAGGCGTCTGCTACACAGGCATTATTTTTTATGTCTGAATTACTATCTGGTGGAATGGGAGCAAATAACAGGGGTAGCACAGGGTGTTATTTCGTTCAACAAGCAGGAGCTATAAGCACGCCAATCCAGAAGGCTGAAAAGACTTGAGCAGAAAAAGGAGGAGATGAAACCCGTAGATAACAATTTGACTTGAAGAAACAATTTTACTGACAAAAAAGGTGCCGGATCATGAGAGATGAGCAAACTCTTTTCAAGACATCGTTTACCGAGACACCACAAAACGACGCCATCGGTTGAGGTTCTGTGATGTTCCCATAGTTACAGGTTGTGTGCCAAAACAAACCATTATCATCCTGCAATATTTTCCCTATTCTTCCTTGATGCCCAGAAGTACAATTTGCCGATATTTCATTCGCTGTTCCTTATGTTACTGTTGAAAGCCCCACTTTCTCTTTGTCCAGATAGCTGGGCCAAAAGGTAGCTGCAGTTTCTCAAACGTTTACTTCTCTTACAAGTGAGGCATCGACATTTCAAATATTCGTTGGTTTCGTTTCAGAGTTCATTTTATTATTGAAAAGGCTGGAAAATTTTTTTGCTGTTATTGTTTTCCCTAAGGAAGGAAAGGAAAGGAAAGGAAAGGAAAGGGAAGGAAGGAAGGAAGGAAGGAAGGAAGGAAGGAAGGAAGGAAGGAAGGAAGGAAGGAAGGAAGGAAGATGTGAAATAGAGACACAGAAGGGAAGGGAAAAAATGTGAAATAGAGAATCAAAAGATAAGGGAAGGAAGGAAAAATGAAAGGAGGAAGGCAAGCAAGCAGGAAGGAAGGAAAAGTGAAAAAAGAATGAAGAAGGGAAGAAGGCAAAATGAAAGTGCAAATGAACAGGAAAGAAGGAAGGGAAGGTAGGAAAACAAAAAGGGAATAGATGGATGGATGGAGGAAAGAAAGGAAGGGCTTAGTTTTATTGCCAACACATTTTCAGAAGTGTTGCTCTTTTTTCTTCTTTCTAGGCCTGAAACAGGAACTGAACCAAGTTACCCAGCCAGCTTTCATGCCAAGACAGGATTGGAACTCAAAATCTCACATTCTTAGCCTGGTGGTTTTAATCACTACATCAAACTGCAGGTATTTCATACACCTGAAGGTAGCCTTTAAATACAAACCAAGGCACTTGCGTATATTAAGTATTTTGTGCTGAGATGTCCTATCAGAGTGTTGGTTGGTCTTGAGTTGTGCAACATTGAAATAAGCTGTCATTTGCAGCAAAATCTTTGCCTGGAGTCATAGAGCTTAGGCAAGGGACCTTGTGAGGAAATAGTCCCAGAACATTACCAAGAATAATAATTTGGATGTTATCCGCTAGAAGTTGGTTATTGCTTCCTGTAGCTCGTTCCTCTCCTCACAGTCTGCACAGGTCCATCTATAGGAGCAACATTTTAGGAGCAGAGAGAGGCAGATGCATTTGTCACCTCTGCACATACATGGACAAATACTCTCTTATTTACAATGGCAAAAGGAATGCCCAGAGCAAAAGGTGAAGTGGGAAAATAGCAGGTTTCTGATGTGAGTTAATAAACATTTGCAAAGCTGTGATGGTGTCACAGGATTATGGAGAAACTAGCAACATTATCGCCGTTGAGGCAATTTTCCCTCTGAGCTTATGGAAATGAAGTGCTACGGAATATCCACACCGCTGGATGATTGCAGTTTTGTTCTGGACCTTTCCAGCTAAATGGATACTCCCCATTAAGAGAGAGAGAAAAAAATAGGAGGGAAAAAGTCATAAAACCTGAGCAGACAGCTAAAGAATGCCTGTGACTTCTATAAAATTATTGTCCCCCAAATTGCCAATTCACATTTTTTTAAAAAAAATCTGTCTCTGGTTCTTTTCAAATCATATGTTTCTGGCAGTCCAGAGACAACTATGAAAATATGACCATCAAGAATTTATGTGTGGTTTTTTTTTTTTTTTCCCTTTGATCAGTTTGCAGCAAGCCACATTTTTAAGAGAGCTTCCGGCTTGATGGATCAGCCTCTTGACACCCCTCTGAAGGAGTAACTAGAACAGTGGTTCTCAACCTTTTTAATGCTGCGACCCCCAACCGGTCGTAAGTCGAGGACTAAGCCGGTCGTAAGTCGAGGACTACCCAACCGGTCGTAAGTCGAGGACTTTCCCTGCCCGGGAGTGCCGCACATGCGTGGCTCCGCCCCCTGCGCCGGCCGAGGCGTAGTTGGCAAGCGGCAGAGACGGAGCAGGCTGACCACCAGCTGGCCCAGCCCAAGGGAGGTAAGGCACCCGCCGGAAAAGGGAAAAAAAATGGCGAACAAAAAAAATGGCGGAAAAAAAATGGCGGACAGCTTTGCTTGGTGACCCCCATGAAATGGTTGATCGACCCCAAATGGGGTCGTGACCCATAGGTTGAGAACCGCTGAACTAGAAGTATATTCTCTGATGCTTGACAATCTCTGCTGGATGTTGTTCTGTGGTGTTTATCTGACATAGAAGCGGGGCTATCTTACTCTTGCTCTTTCTTTTCCCTAAACTGAGATCGGAGAGGGGCCACTTAGTTTTTTCTCCAGGAGCCTTGTCATGGGAGAAGAAGCTGTTCACCAGGTTCCTTGGGAATGTATCTTCTGCCCTTGAAAAATGGTGAGCAGCAACTTGCTTCTTTCCAAGGATGAGGCAGAGAAGAGAGATGGACATTCACAAAGAGGAGATATTGGTGATGTTGTGTAGGACCCAACATACCACTTAGTAGCACTTGGGATCATGGTATTTGGTGGAGTGTGGGATGAACTTGCTACGGACACCATGCAGAGCTGAGGGGAGGAATCTCACAGCGTGTTTGACTAGCACTGTTTGGGGTTCTATCAAAGCTCATTCAAAGATACAGTCAAAAGGTTTCTGTCTATGGCAGGGGTAGGCAACCTTGGCTCTTTTATGACTGGTGGACTTCAACTCCCAGAATTCCTGAGCCAGCATGGCTCAGCTTGGAAACCTCTCTCTGTCCCCTCAGCATAGCTGGCTCAGGAATTCTGGGAGTTGAGGTCCAAGAGTCATAAAAGAGCCAAGGTTGCCTACCCCTGGTCTATGGCATGAGAAGGAGAAGTACAGTCGCCATGTTGCCTTGCCTTGAGGCAAGATGCTATCATGGTATCAATTATTTCTGATGAGAATTCCTTATTTTTAGCTAAAGGACCAAAGCTGCATGATGAACCAACGGGTTGCTAGCCTACATATTTTTAACAGAAGAGAATAGTCACTGACAATAACTAGTCGCTGTGTGCATTGATGATGTTACCTAGTTGGGTAATGAAATAGCTGTAGGCAAACAACCAAGCTAAGGTGGAGCCCCAAGGATTCCCCATTACATTTCTCTGCTTCTGGTGTACCAGTTCATTGAATGGGCTTTTCTCACAAAATATCCTAAACATGGCTTGTAAATCAGTGCCTTGAAATGAACATGATCCAAATATCAATTAGGAAAGAAGGCACTGTTTATTTAAACATTAAAATGAGAGTGGTGACTAACTCTTGGGATTGATGGGCCAGATGTGAGAGAGACTCTCCACTAGAGGAGACCCATTTGGGTCAAGGATGTGAGGGACACACAATGTGTTCACATTAATCCCTGTATTATCCCTGGTGGGAGAGATTTGGGAAGAGTTAATAAAGGGGTTTAAAGATTAGATCGCTGCCAGTCCTAGTTGCTGGACAGATGTGATTTGAAGTCTGAAGGAAGACCTTTCGGATCCTTTGTCGGAAGATTGGGGGGGGTTTAAGCAAAGAAATTAATTTATTTTCCTCTTCTGTGGTCAAAAGAAATTGTAGGTGTCTGTACAGGCCACAATGACATCGCTTGGATCATGAGATCATCATGCAAATAGTGTGAGTTGCATAATTTGTACCAGCCCAAATAAGATAATTCAGGTTATTTGTGTGACAGCAGGCATGTGACACCAGCTATTCCTGCCACAATTGCCCTAGGACAGGGGTAGGCAACCTTGGCTCTTTTATGACTCGTGGACTTCAACTCCCAGAATTCCTGAGCCAGCATGGGAGTTGAAGTCCACGAGTCATAAAAGAGCCAAGGTTGCCTACCCCTGTTCTAGGAGGTGAAGGGGCATCTTAGCCATAGACAATGACCCTTCCCACCCCGGTCATATCTTCTCCCGATCCTTCAAAATCTCCCAGTTCTGATGCCCAGATGTATGAGCAACTAGAATTAGGTCTGCTTTGGATGAAGTTCAATATATTTGATAAAAAAAAATGAAGAAAAAAAAACCAGGAACATTCAAGGAAAAATTAATTAATTCCAGAAGGTACATGGTCCCACACATTTCATACAACAGGAAGAAAACAGAATGTTGGACATCTGGAAAAGTAATTACACCGTAAGATAATACTCCCATTCAGACATCCTAAATATCACACAACTTGTTTTGTTTTCAATTTCAGGAGTTCCTTAGATTTTTTTTTTCACCTCCAAAGACCCAATGCAACTTTTAATACTTTAAATTTTTGTTCCCATTTTTTTTCATTTCAATTAAGGGGGGAAAGTCTGCGAACTATGAAGTGACTTTTTTTCCCCAGTACAATTTCACGTACATCTACTAGAAGTAAATTCCGCTGGATTTACTTGTGCAATTTGCTCCAAGAGAGGTGTGTAAATACTTGGTAGGGCAGCCTTTCTCATCGTGCGCTCTTGAGATGTGATAGGTGACCATTTCCTGATTTTCAATAGCCTGGCTGGTGAGATTCCAAAACTGAGGCAATTTTGTTCTACCAATTTAGAACTGTTTATCTCTTGCCTCCCGGATCCATTATAACTCATGCTAAGAGGGAAAATCCAATAAAAAAAACCGAAATTAAACCACAGCATTCCCCCTTTGTATATTTTCTTAAAATTTTCAACAGATACTGTCTGCATTGTGGAAATAATAACTCCTAATGAGGCAGGAAAAATAATGAGCAGAATCTTCCTCTCCACCAGGGAAAACTGAGGTTTTTGTCTTGAATACATTTTGCTGACTGGGGGTAAAAATCAGTCAGAATATGGAAACATTCACACACAGAAATCTTCTCTCTCTCTCCCACACACAGACACACAGATATCCTGGTAGTTCTTTTTTTAAAAAAACAACAACAATGCCATCATGATAAGAAGTTGAACTCCACTGGAGAAAAATATAGTCAAAATATTAACAACAATAAAAGCATCATCATCATCATCACAGCCAGTCATGATGGAAGACTTGATCTTTGGCTATTCCAAATGGAGTCCTTTGTGGGGAGGGAAAGGAGAACATTCTTTAGCCCATAGGCCCCTTCATGTTTTTGGGCTGGTACATGGGCTGCTCCCTGGGCATCATGCCAAAACAGTCTGAAGGGTTGCAGTGACCGGCTTTCCCAGGAGGGCCCGTGATTCCTGGTGGTCCCGGGATGCCCGGAATACCTTGCTGCCCCATGGGCCCTGGAAGGCCCATTTTCCCATAGCCTGGAGGCCCCTGCATGCCTGTAGAGAAGAAAGGAAAACAAGAGTCAAGTCCTGTGGAGACTCCTATATTCCGCGGTCTGTTTTTCCTTTCCTGAAATGGTTGGGAGCATCGGAGAAGCCTTCCCCATGAGGATGGATGTGGGGAAAAATGCACGCGCAGCAAACTGCCGTGCTTTCCCCCCCACAAACCTCATAACCTCTTGATACCCTGTGTTCCAATGAAGCAGCCAGAAGGTCATAATACCCTTTTGACTTAATGCCTCACCTACCTAAACAGATAATATGCTTAAGTTCCTTCTCCTATCTTTTCCTGCCTTTGTTAGTTCCTTTTGCTTTCATCTCCCTGTATTTGTTCTTACCTGACTTTATGTCAGCATCTAAGGGTTAAACGTATGAATGTAAAATGTCAGCATCTAATGGTTAAGCTGGTGTATGTAACAAGTATATAAGAAGCAATAAACTCAAGAGTTTGTCAAGCTGTGTCCTGCAGCTTCAAACCTCTGCTCAAGACATGCCTGCGTCTTTTTCATAGCGTCTTACAGATGCTCCTCAGACTGATAGGCTTCAGCTGCCAAAATTCTCCACTCTGAAGGATTCTGGAAGTGAAGCCCACACACCTGGAAAGCCTCCAGGTTTGAGGAAAGGTGTGCTGGGAAGGCCGGGTTTCTCTGCGAGGAACGTTTCCAGAGGGATGTAGATTTCAACCTGGTAGAAGCCTCACTGCTGAGCCAAATAGGCTGGTCTTGCTTTGAAGGTCTTGGTCCTCAGCAAGACTGATGCTGACCCTCCAGCACTGCCTGAACATTTGTAGTCCTACCAGCAACACTTGAGGAAATCCCCTGTTCCATTGCATATTTATTTATTAAATGCCGCCCATCTGCATTTGGGATGCCGCCCATCTGCCGCCCATCTGCCGCCTATTTGCAAGACCGCCTCCTACCAAACACCTCCCTTCGACCAGTCCGCTCCCACAGAGAGGGCCTCCTTAGGGTGCCGTCGGCCAGTCAATGCCGGCTGGCGACCCCCAGGGGGAGAGCCTTCTCTGTGGCAGCTCCCGCCCTCTGGAATGACCTACCCCCCGACCTACGTACAGTTGCGGACCTGCGCCTTTTTCACCGAGCCCTGAAAACCCATCTATTTCGTGCGGCCGGCCTGGCGTAGTCTTAATTAGGTTTTAGTATAGGTTTTTATATGGGGTATTTTAGAGCAGGCCTTTATTTATTTAATTTGATTTTAGAATAGATATTTATTGTGATTTTTATTATCGCCTGTTCACCGCCCTGAGTCCCGTAAGGGAGATAGGGCGGTATACAA